CAACATGGCTACCAAAATGACAAGGTCCATGGTGGCTTTTGAAACATCAAAATGAAATCTTGCCATATCAATCCCTGATGTAATATATCAATTCCCTGATATCTGTATTATCCTTATTCTTTTTTGGCTCAATCTCAGTCCCAGTCTCAGTCTCAGTCTCAGTCTCAGTTGTTAATGAAGGGTCCCTCTTAGCCTTATGAGCCAATGACTTTTGACGGGTGTGTGTTTGTTGTTATGTCTGACTTCGAACCTAGTTGGCCGATTCGATTACATTATTGTCGAGGGAGGTGTTTTTGCTTTCTTTGACTATGACAAGTTTTTCATTTCCCTTTTTAGGATTTTTTTTGTCGGCGCCATGAAAAGTGTTTCGAATCTTTTTTGGGTATGTGAAATTTGACAACGTCGACCCCTTGATTATTCTAAAAGGCTTTATATCGCAAAACGTCATTGAGGTTCACAAAAATCATAAAAATAAAAAATGAAAAAACCAAAATAAAAGTTGTATTTTAAAATTTAAATTATTGTTAACACATATATATTGTATTTTAAATACATATGGCACTATATTATTGGATATGTGGGCTCCACATATATGCCACATCAACAAACCAACGGAGTTTTTGACAGAAGGACTATTTGTGAGCACATATATTAATCTTGAGGACCACAAACGACACCAAAAAAAAAAAACACAATATGATAGTTTCGTGAACCTTGGAGACATTTTGTGGTAAAAAGCCTATTCTAAAATCTGACTTTCCTAGTGATTACTATTAACTGATGAGTATTTGAATTATTCCCTAATTCTGTTGCATTTACTAACATATAAGAATAAAACTTGTATGAATTTCACATTAAAAGATACAATCCAATACCCAAAAAGAAACTAGATTGATTGAATGGTAGTAGTTGATCTCATCATTCTTTTACTTATTCCTTAGTTCCTTTATTCGAAATAATTGAACACGTTATAAAGAGAGTTTCATGTTGTAAATTGAACAATAGTTGAGAAAACAACCTTTGAATATGAAGAAATTCTTAGTGTGTGTGTGTGAGAGAGAGAGAGAGAGAGATAGCATCAAATTCAAATGGTTTATGTATTTTAATTTTTGTAACGGTTGATATCAATGGATGAGATGAAACATGTTAGTAAAGGATGATAATGAATAATACCAAGTGAAAAAAAAAATTAATAATAAAAAAGAGGTTGGTTTGATTTAGTTTAGAGGGTTTCAAAAAGGTCAAAACAAACCACACGAAACTAATTGTGGTTTGGTTTGATTCCTTCAGTCCAAAATTACAATTTTTTAGTATAAAAAAAATCAAAACAGTGGCATACTGCTGCTAAAACTTGATTGAAGTGAGGCTTGAGTGAATGCATGGATATTAGAATTACCAATATATACAAACTTAAACAAGAAGAAGAGTAAGTTACCTTCTGCAGCAGGCAGACGCGAAGCTTGTGCTTCAACTTCGACTGATTTGGTGCATAAGCAGAGAACCGAAATGAGCATAATAAGGTTCATGATGGTTTTTGGAGCAATACAATACTTAACTCCTCTTGCCATTTATCCTTGATGCACCACAATGGTAAGAAAACTCTCTCGGAATTTCTCTTTCTTTCTTTTTATATGGTCCTCACTCTTCTTTCTTACTCAGGCTTGTACAATGCACACAAACCATTACCTATTTATAGGCAAGGAGTACCCCACCCTTCAGTGAAATCGGAGAACGTGAGAATCAGGACTAGGAGGGTGAGATTTTTTTAGAGTGCTGCTATTTCCACCCACCTTATTTTCAAAATTTTAAAGATTAATTTACCCATTTATAAAATGACTTTTAAGGACTCTCTAATTTTTTGACAATTTTCACTTTTAACAACTAAAAAAAAAAAAAATTAATTCTTAAAAACAAAACCAAAAACCCAAGAGCCACCAAAGCTCGTCCACCCCCACCGACAATGTTTCAGCAACTAAATAATTCTTCAGTTTGTTTTGTTTCTAGAGATGCCAATACAATGGCACATGGTCTTGCATATTTCGCTATTTCATCAATTAAAATGTTCTCATGGGATAGGGACCCTCCTGCTTTCATCGAAAACTTGTTGGTTGAGGAGGATATGCTGTAATCGGTTTCAGTTTTATTGAAATAAATACATCGTTTCCACACAAAAAAAAAAATTTTAAAAATCGTTTCCACTAAAAAAAAGCAACAACAAAAAAACACAAAGTCATAGCAACTATGACAGACCAAGAAGCAAGCAAATAAAGTTGCATATGTGTAACCTCTGGACTAAGATCGCCAACAAAAAATAACCGTTTGAGACTGAAAATCGTAGGTTAAAAAACAAAGAAATACAAAAAGTTTTTCTAAAGGTCAAAAGTGGTATTAGAGAATTATAACAGGTAAGTTAGTCCTAAAATGTTGCATCACATGCTTTCTCATGTGGGGAAAAATTCTCAAATAAAGCCAAGGGTGTGAGATTTTCCCTACATGGGAGTCCATATCCGTAAGTGCAGAATTGCATTCCCACAAGTGCACTTAAGATAGACCAAACATAAAAATGCAATTTTTCTCAAGCTCCTATCTTTAACCAAACAACCAGTCCAAGCCAACCCAATCCAATACTGCAAAGCTCATCCTAACCAGTCCGAGCCAACCTACCAAACAGGACCTAAGAGTTTAAAGTCGATATTGGTATTAATGCTTGATGTAAAAGGCTTCAACCTCGCTTGCTGCATCCACATCACCCTTGACTAGAATATTCAATGTCTCATCCTCAGGTCAGTTCCTATTAATGAAGGGACCCCTTATAGAATAGACTTATTAATCAAGAAGACTTTTGATGGCACAAGTCAACTAGCAACTAGCAACTAGCTGTATAATTGCATTATTGATTAAAGATAGTACAAAAAAGTTAAATGCATAATTGCATTATTGATTGGAGATAGCAATGCTATCCACATTACAAAAAAATTAAATGCATAATTGCATTATTGATTGGAGATAGCGATGCTATCCACATTACAAAAAAGTTAAATGCACCGGTTCTGCATGACAAACCCTACTAGATAGTTTGATGGAGACGACATAAAAAAAGTTGTTCCTGAAGTTTGGGCACTTAGGCAGCTTTGCAATTACAACATACAAGCAGCACGCCTTGATTGGATGCGAGATCGATCCCGCTTTCTTATCTTTTTTATGGCTTCTACGAACAAAATACAAGGAGAAGAGACAAAGACGGCCACCATTTTTCTACATTTTGCTACGATAAGTGGAGTTGTCGTCATATCTCACAATATGCAATGCAATGCAATCAACCCCAACCAGCCTTGGTTGCAAAATAAAGACATGGCACCAAGTAATTGGTGGCAACTTGTATGGCCTACGCCTCTCTTTCTCTTTTTCTTCCATCACCAACGCCTCTCCTCTTCCACCCTTTTATTATCACTATTTCTCTTAATAGTTGAAAAATATTCTAAATTCGAATCAACGAATAAAAGAAAATCAAATAAAAAATGACAATGTTTCCCAAAACAAATGGATATATATATATAAGTGGATATAAAACCATTCATAAGATTTTAGATTTGTAGCATTACTCATTTTACAAGTAAACAAAAATGAAATAGCAAGCATATATGCATCTTTCCATCCATGCAATCACTTTTCTAGATTTTCATAATTTCACATATTACATAACAATAATATTGTTCAAATTTCTGACCAGAATAATAATATTCATTCAAATTGATACCCATAAAAATACTGAGCTCCAATCTCTACGTGTAAATTACTGTATGTACTCTACTTATGTCCTAATACTGAGCTCCAATCTTTTGAAAAATCACGAGGAAAATAATGAGTGGTCAATTGTATAAAGACCTGACAATATTACGTATAATTAATTCATAGGGTTGGTCGTTGGTCCAGTTAAGGCACCGACAGCTCTACATTTCTGTCCACAAAAAAAGCTCTACATTTCCAGACGCAACGTTTTTAATGTTAGTTAAAAAAAGAAGAAAGAAGCTTGGTCTATTACTTTATGTAATATATTGTCCGCCACTGTCCGTCTCTCTGAATTTAACATGGTATCAGAGCGGGTTGAATGATTAGGCCTAAAATATTGGGCCTTTATCCTTCTCTCTTACCCAATATGTGGTGTTCACATGTTGAGCTTGAATATTTACCCTTATCCCTTACTCAATACGTGATGTTCAAATGTTGGGCTTGAATGTTTGACTCTAAGAGCATCTCCAGCGCAGGAGAAGAACCGGGCAAAAGGCCCCCCTCGCAAGCCCAAGCAGGTCCAGCGCTGCAGCCTACAGCCCGGTTTGGCGTGGGTCCCACCAGCCCGGGCAAGCCCAAGGGCAGGTTTTTCCTGGGCTTCAAACCGAGTTTTGTGACGTCATGCTGACGTCAGCGAGCAAAAAAATATTTAAAAAAATATTTAAAAAATCCAAAAAAATTTCAATTTTTTTTTTTTAAAATACCAAAAAATTATAGATGCTTTCCCTATAAATACATAACAATTTTATTCACTTTCTAAATTGTTTATATTTTGTTGCATAATATTTTTCTCCTTTCTTGCCTTAGACTTGCCCTAGACTTAGCCCTTGTGGGTGGAACCACAAATGCAAAGGCTGACACTATTCATGTGAATAGTGGCAGCCCTTGCTTGCCATTGCCTTAGACTTAGCCCTTGTGGGTGGAGATGCTCTGATGTGGACTTGGCACCACGTGTGGCCCACTATGTGGTGGTCCCACATGAGGGGGCATGTTGAAAAATATAAGTCTCATATGTTGGGCTTGAATGTTTGACTCAGATGTGGACTTGGCACCACGTTTGGCTCACTATGTGGTGGTCCCACATGAGGGGTGTGTTGAAAAGGCTCTACATTTCCAGATGCAACGATTTTAATATTAGTAATAAATAAAAAAAACTTGGTCTATTACTTTATGTAATATATTGTCGTCGGCTGAAATAAAATTTCAAAATATTGCAGTTACAGTTTCAACGTTTCTATTAATTTGTAGAAATTTACAGCAGAAATTATTCAGTCTTTGGTGAGGAAAACGAGTGAACTAATTAAATTGAATCTTCAATTGAATAACATTGATATTGTTATTATTGTTGTTTCCGATACAAACATGGAACGAATAAAGCTAATAGAAAATTGAACAAAATATGTACAGCAAAGAAAATATGGACACAGCTAATCTGCATATGCGTTTCCGAAGACTACAACATACTTGCTACTATAGAACCAGAATGTCCACAACTGTCAAGAGGGCGTTGAGTCTGGATTGATTTCAGAGAATTCAAGGCCGGACGTAGAGGTAGAATCGAATGTGTGGACCGTAGTTGAACGCTGTGTTCCACTGATACTTGAACTATGATCTTGCCTCTGCCGGTGGAGGTCTCTCATGGCCTTGAACCTCAAATCTTCTCTATAGGTTCTTGGTTCTGGGATCACGTCAGGAACAGGGATTTGTCCTTCAAGCATGCTCACCACCTCGGACATGCTAGGCCTAAGTGATGCAGAGGCATTTGTACAAATCAGAGCCACTTTAACCATGATCTCCGCTTCTTTTTGGTCGACCTCGGACCCTAACTTCTCATCAACTAGCTCCAACAAGTTTCCGGTTTGTTGCAAATGACAAGCCTGCAAATGTTTATTGTAGTTTCTCACTGAATTAGTAACAATGAGAACAACCAGATGTGACAAGATGGATGTAAAAATGGATCAAAGAGCAAGAGGGAATGGTAAGAGTACCCAATCTAAAAGGCAAACCCAGTCATCACTTGGGATATAATTATTGTTGTTCTTCCCACTAATAATTTCCAAGGCCACTACTCCAAAACTGTAAACATCTGCTTTGTACGTCAGGTGACCCCATAATGCATATTCTGGTGCCATGTATCCTCTGCAAATCAAGATCCCAAAATCTTGTTATTCAACCAGAAAAAAAAAATCACCAATTTAGCTAGAATTTGTTGCAAGTATATCAACAAGTCAAGGTAAACAAGGACATGGAAAGTGGAAACTGACATGGTCCCAGCAACTCGGGTGCTCATGTGCGTCTTCTCCTCTTCATCAAGCTTTGCTAATCCAAAGTCGGATATTTTAGGGTTCAAGTCCCGATCAAGCAGCACATTAGTAGCTTTGATGTCTCGGTGAACAATTTTAAGTACAGATTCTTCATGGAGAAAAGCTAGTCCTCTTGCTATCCCAATACAAATATTACGACTTGTTGGCCAGTCCAGTTTAAGATGATTTTCTCGACCTACAAAAGTTTGTCAAAGAAAATACTGCTCGCACAGACTTTCTTTTCAACTATAAATAAATTGTGTGAAAGAAATTCAAAAACAAAACGGAACGCAAGTAGTACTCAGGGAGTATGAAAGAAGAAACCTAGAAATCAGTATAACCCATCCAAGGATATAAATAAAGAAAAGGATAAAAACCAACTTATACACTTTAGAACATGATCAGTTACATCTTAATTGGTTTCCGCACTTATACAGTTGAGTAATTGAGATCATACTCACCAAACAATGCTCGTGCAAGGTTATTGTTTTCCATGTACTCATAGACCAGCAATAGCTGACCTCCATCAATACAACATCCATGAAGCTTCACAAGATTTG